TGTTATAAATTAATGTGGTTGTTATAAATTAATCTGGTTGTTATAAATTAATCTGGTTGTTATAAATTAATGTGGTTGTTATAAATTAATGTGGTTGTTATAAATTAATGTGGTTGTTATAAATTAATGTGGTTGTTATAAATTAATGTGGTTGTTATAAATTAATGTGGTTCTTAATTCGGGTTTGAATTGTCAGAAGATCGAACTGGCATTTCCACAACAAAGATCACGTGACCAGCAACAGCCGGGTGCGCCTCTGAAAGTCACGTGCTTTCTCTGTCAAACGGAAGTGCAGTTCCCCAGCCTTTGTGGAGCTCTCTCTCGTGGGGAGGCGCGCTTAGTGCGGTCACACAGATGGCTTAGTTTTGTGGGGATAGATGTGTGGGCTAGGTGTGTGGGGTATGTGTGGGATAGATGTATGGGCTAGGTGTGCGGGGTCTGTGTGGGATAGATGTATGGGCTAGGTGTGTGGGGTCTGTGTGAGATAGATGTATGGGCTAGGTGTGTGGGGTCTGTGTGGGATAGATGTATGGGCTAGGTGTGTAGGGTCTGTGTGGCATAGATGTATGGGCTAGGTGTGTGTGTGTGGGGGGGGGTCTGTGTGAGATAGATGTATGGGCTAGGTGTGTGGGGTCTGTGTGGGATAGATGTATGGGCTAGGTGTGCGGGGTCTGTGTGGGATAGATGTATGGGCTAGGTGTGTGGGGTCTGTGTGGGATAGATGTATGGGCTAGGTGTGTGGGGTATGTGTGAGATAGATGTATGGGCTAGGTGTGTGGGGTCTGTGTGGGATAGATGTATGGGCTAGGTGTGCGGGGTCTGTGTGGGATAGATGTATGGGCTAGGTGTGCGGGGTCTGTGTGAGATAGATGTATGGGCTAGGTGTGTGGGGTCTGTTTGGGATAGATGTATGGGCTAGGTGTGTGGGGTCTCTGTGGGATAGATGTATGGGCTAGGTGTGTGGGGTTTGTGTGGGATAGATGTATGGGCTAGGTGTGTGGGGTCTGTGTGGGATAGATGTATGGGCTAGGTGTGCGGGGTCTGTGTGGGATAGATGTATGGGCTAGGTGTGTGGGGTCTGTGTGGGATAGATGTATGGGCTAGGTGTGTGGGGTCTGTGTTGGATAGTTCTGTTAAATAGGTAGTTGAGGGAGGGTTGAAGCATAGCCGCCGTTAGATTGATTTAAGATAAACCAACATATATTAGAAACATCAAAACTCAAATGGATCTGTTTCTCTGTATGTATGTGGTGTACTTGCTTATCATATAATTACATTTTAAAATAAGGTAATTACAAAGTCTAGTGACAATTTTAGCGCAATTTCCTTATGTTATCTAAAAATAGCTCTGTCGTAGCGTAAATCAAGAGCAGGGTTAGTAAAACCATTGGTTAGTTATTAAAACTTTTTTTTATTAAATTTTTTTTTAGTATTTTACATGTTTTATTTACAATAGAGTTACAGGACTAAAAACCATTGCGCGCCTAGCTGCTGAACGTGATGACGCAGCCATTGAACGTGATGGCCAGCTATTGAACGTGATGACGCGTGTGGTGTGGTTGGATAAACATGCCTACTAATTCGGTCCAAATTTTAATTAATTCAAAAAATTTTTTGTGACCGAACGAAAGGATATTTTTGAAAACTTTCTTCGGCAATATTGTTTTAAATTATGGCAGAAATCGATTGGTAAATGTTTCAAGTCGCTAAGTGGTCTGGTCGCTGAGATATGGGCAAAAAACTGCATTTTTCGAGGTTTTTTGGCTTTTCCGGGAAATCCATGAAAGAAACCCGGAATTTTTTTGGCCTATGTTCATCCTCGTAACTTGCTTAACATAATTGCTTTTAGAACTAGTCCTCGATATTGCTTCGTTGAGGAGGAGATACGACTTAAAGCTGCGGACACACATCCATTCATTCATACATAAAAGTAAATTGCAGTGACACTGTTCACACGATCGCCATCAAACTTTGGGTGCGATTTTTCTCTATATACGGTATTTAAAAATAAAAGTCGATTGCGGTTTGACACCGTTCACCCCGATCGCCATCAAAAGTTGGGGAGCTGATTAGAACACTCCAGGTGAGGTTTCTGTAAAAAAAAACTTACTTTTTTTTTAATTCGCAAGGGCGGCGCCCCGAGAAGGTTCGATTCTTGTCTTTATACGGTATACAAAAATAAAAGTCGATTGCAGTTTAACACCGTTCATCCGATCGATATCAAACTTTGGGGTGTCGATAAGAATACTCCAGGGAAGGGTTCTGCAAAAAAATATTTTTTTTTTAATTTTGCAAGGGCGGAGCCCAGGGTGGATGCGATGTTTCTCTATATAAGGTATATAAAAAATAAAAGTCAGATGCGATTCGACATCTTTCATCCGTGTGCCATGAAACTTTGGGGAGTGGATGAGAATATTCCCGAGAAGGTTTCTGTGAACAAAATACTGAAAATTTGATATGGGTGGCGCCTGCGAGGGTGCGATTTTCGTCAATACACTATTTGGCGCCCAGAGTTCCTAGCATGTGGCATCCGTTAATAGAGCGCCCTGCATAGAGGGTAAGGGGTACTACTGAAGTCAGCGTTAAAACTTCAACAGGCGCAGCCGTCGGCGCAGCGTAAATTGCACGACCCGAAGCATCCCGGGCTCCCCTGCGAACACTATGGCGCCTACGTTCATTAAAATAAAGGCTATACACTAATGATACAATGGGCAACAATAAGCCTTGGGCTTTCCCGTGAGCGCTATGGCACCTACGTTTGTTCTAAACAGTGCGGTAGACAATGGATAATATGGGCCGTTACGGTGGCTTACTAAATTGAATGAGGCGTGTCAGGAAAATTAACCAAGGTTAGGATATTAAAACTGGGTGTTGGTAGTGTATGTTAACCCGTGTCCCTATATTTATGATCCAAGCGTAGGCATTGTTTACATTTAAATAACTCAGTTTTAGAAAACAAGGTCACTCGTCTTAGAACATATGATTGGTAACGCATTGATAAAACCCTTCTTATATATTTCATCGGACTTTCTTATATTCCCGCGGCAACGCGCGGATACGCTAGTGCTTAATAAAGAAATAAGTCAACATCAATAATTTCAGAAAGGCCAGTGCAAGGCCTTGCTGGGACGGCTCATGTAACTATAATATAAGCGGTCCTTCCAACGCGGGCCTTCGTCATCGCTATAGATTTTGTAACCAAAAAATTAATCACCACATGCCGAGATTGCATGGAATTGTCTTATTTAAAGTAATGGAGTAGGGATTATTTAAACAGGGACTAAACATTTTTGATTGCCGGCAAAATTTTTACTCCTTTGCATACGTCAACAAAAAAAAAAAGTGAAGAAAATATTAAATACACGCAAAATGCTAAAACATATTAAACGGATCAATGTCAAATAATATTTTCGCTTATATGCCTAGATTTATTTTAATAACAGTAGGGTTGAAAAAGACTCAACAATTAATATGTTTAATATGTATAATATGTTTAATATGTTTAATAAGTTATGGGAGGTAGTTTAAAAAATAAATCAAACTCAGGCTCAATATTGCTATTTAAGTTAAAAACAATTTAAAAAAAATTCCAACCGCATTGATTGTTATATTATTTTCTTATTAGTCGGTTCAGAGTTTTATAGTTGTTTTTTTTTTCTTAAATTTCTATGATCCCTTAAAATCATTCTTTTTTTTTTTACTTTCTCGTATATACAAAGTATAAAGAAAGCCTTGTAATCGTGCAAAAAAAAAAAATGTAAAATAAAAAAAATGCATAAAAAACGTTTTAATAACAAGCTTTTATGTAATGATGCACTAAAAAGTAGAAAATAAATTATAGACTACTATTTAAATAACTATAAAGAAAAGCGTGGGTGTCTTCCTTAACATTAGTAAAGGTATCCAATACATACTAAAGTGACCCACGCTTTTCTTTATAGTTATTTAAATAGTAGTCTATAATTTATTTTCTATTTTTTAGTGCATCATTACATAAAAGCTTGTTATTAAAACGTTTTTTATGCATATTTTTTTTTATGAATTTTTTTTTCAGTACTTTACATGTTTTATTTACAATAGAGTTACATGACTAAAAACCATTGCGCGCCTACTGAACATCACGTTCAGTAGGCGCGCAATGGTTTTTGAACGCAGCCATTACGTGATGGCGCAGCTATTGAAGGTGATGACGCGTGTGGTGTGGTTGGCTAGACATGCCTACTAATTCGGTCCAAATTTTAATTAATTCATAAAAAATTAATTAGGCATCCAATTAAGTCAAATTTAGTTTCAGATTGCATTGTCTTCATGTCTTGACCCACGTGCTAACTTTGAATCGTATCGGTCAAGCAGAACTGTCCGAATTTTCACTCCTGCGTTTCCGTCTAGACAGACAGACCGACGAGGAAGTGAGTTAAATAAAAGCTTGTAAAAAAAATCGAGATATCTGCGAATATCGACGTTTTACAGCTCCCTGACTCGGGAAAACATAGTTTTGCAATCTTTTCCGTATGTCTGTGTGTGTATTTGTGTGTCTGTCTGTCTGTCTGTGTGTGTCTGTAAACACGATAACTTGAGTACTGTTACAGCTAGGTTGATGAAATTTCATATATAAGTATTTGATCAAAATCGTATATATATATATATATATATATATATATATATATATATATATATATATATATATATATATATATATATATATATATATATATATATATATATATATATATATATATTCCCACGTGAAGCTTTGCGACTGTCTAGTGTGGGTGCTGAACAACGTGAATTGACTACACTTGTCTGAGACGAGGCTTATAACGTAGTGAGTAGAACAAGCACTTGAATCCGTCCCTCCCACTGTTGACTCACAATAAGCATTTGTTTGCTGCTATTTTTAGAAGTCTGGGCAATTCATTCACTCCCTTGCTAGGTATGTATAGAGGGAGGGGGCATAATTCGTCTGATATGTATCGAGGGAAGGGCCGCAACTTTTCTGATCTACTCTCACGTACTCGACCGGCGCATACCTTGGGCTGCTGGCACATCGATACCGAGTAATCGTTGCTTACAGAAGGTAAGCCGGTTGGGTTGAATTGTTTCGTTTTTTTAGAGGCTATAGCTGCCAGTTTTTAAAACTGTTTTTGTCTGCATGACAGCGGAATGTGAGAAGAGTGAAAGAAAATTTCTAGAGGAGGCTGTCGTGAGTTAAACAACGAGTTTAGATGAGCGTTGAGCTCAAGTTTAGCTCAAGTTGAGCTCAAGTTTAGAGACAGTGTCGAGGATAACAAATCAAGTTGTTGGCTGCCAGCATCTACGTCACGTGCAAAGGTAGGATTTAAATCACTGCCATATATATATGCAATATATATATATATTTGACAGTGACCCATCTCATCTCATGGTTCACCCATCTCATGGTTCACCAATCTCATGGTTCACCCATCTCATGGTTCACCCATCTCATGGTTCACCCATCTCATGGTTCACCCATCTCATGGTTCACCCATCTTATGGTTCACCCATCTCATGGTTCACCCATCTCATGGTTCACCCATCTCATGGTTCACCCATCTCATGGTTCACCCATCCCATGGTTCACCCATCTCATGGTTCACCCATCTCATGGTTCACCCATCTCATGGTTCACCCATCTCTCGTAATCTGCCCAGATTCCAGCGCTGCAAAAGATTTTGGCCTACATTTACCGCTCCCCTACAGACAAACGGTTTAGCACAAGTACATCTTGTCTGCCAGCTACACGGGTAAGTTGGTTACACATCGAATGTCTACACATCAATTTTTTGCACATCGAATGTCTACACATCAATTTTTTGCACATCGAATGTCTACACATCTAATGTTTACACATCGAATGTCTACACATCAATTTTCTGCACATCGAATGTCTACACATCAATTTTCTGCACATCAAATGTCTATACACCTAATGTTTACACATCGAATGTCTACACATCAATTTTCTGCACATCAAATGTCTACACACCTAATGTTTACACATCGAATGTCTACACATCAATTTTCTGCACATCAAATGTCTACACACCTAATGTTTACACATCAAATGTCTACACACCTAATGTTTACACATCAAATGTCTACACATCTAAAGTTTACACATCGAATGTCTACACATAAGTTTTCTGCACATCAAATGTCTACACACCTAATGCTTACACATCGAATGTCTACACATCAATTTTCTGCACATCGAAAGTCTACACACCTAATGTTTACACATCGAATGTCTACACATCAATTTTCTGCACATCAAATGTCTACACACCTAATGTCGAATGCACATCGAATGTCTACAAACCTAATGTTTACACATCAAATGTCTACACATCAATTTTCTGCACATCAAATGTCTACACACCTAATGTTTACACATCGAATGTCTACACATCAATTTTTCTGCACATCAAATGTCTACACATCAATTTTCTGCACATCGAATGTCTACACCCCTAATGTTTACACATCGAATGTCTACACATCAATTTTCTGCACATCAAATGTCAACACATCAATTTTCTTCACATCAAATGTCTACACACTTAATGTTTACACATCAAATATCTACACACCTAATGTTTACACATCAAAGGTCTACACACTTAATGTTTACACATCAAATGTCTACACACCTAATGTTTACACATGAAATGTCTACACACCTAATGTTTACACATCAAATGTCTACACACCTAATGTTTACACATCAAATGTCTACACACCTAATGTTTACACATCAAATGTCTACACACTTAATGTTTACTCATCAAATGTCTATACTTCAATTCTCTGCACATCTTATTTCTTCTCATTTTTTTTTACTTTCTCGTATATACGAAATATAGAGAAAGTCTTGTAATCGTACAAAAAAAAAACACAAAAAAAACGAGATTTTACAAATCTCGACGTTTTACACCTCTCTGATACGGAAAAACATAATTTTGCAATCTTGTCCGTCTGTCTGTGTGTGTGTCTGTCTGTCTGTGTGTGTGTAAACACGATAACTTGAGTACCGTCACAGCTAGGTTGATGAAATTTCATATTTAAGTATTTTATCAAAATCGTAGATCCTGATCAACTGAGCGATTTCCGATAACCGGAAGTGGTATTTTTCTACTTTGAATTTTTAAAAGGCCTATAACGTGAGTACTATTTCAGATAGATAAATGAAATTTCACATGTAAGTAAAAGATCTAATTTTCTACCTTCCGTCAAATTTTGAGTAATTTCCGTTGACCGGAAGTACTAATTTACACTATTTCCGATTTCTCAAAAAACGCATGTAAATTTATAAAGCACTAATAATATCCCTCACTATTATGCACATTTTATTTGCGTTCACTTGGTGTGCAATTCTTTTTTTTTTAAAGAGATTCTATTCTTTTATAAAAAGTTTAAGTAATTAAAAATGGATTACAAATATTGTCTATGTCCTGAGTTGCCATACCTCGTAGTTTTATCTATAATAATAGTTTCGCTGTCTGTGTATCTATCTATCTGACAAGAACGCTCTAGAGAAAACACAAGCAAAATAAAAACATGCACAGTAATTCGAAAAACGAAGTATGACGCGGTCACATTTAGCATAGAGTAGAAAATAATCTCAATCCGGAGAGTGCACACAGTAATATGACGTCATTGATTCTCGAGTAAATATTGAATAAAAATAAATTTTGTCTAATCTAAATGGTTTGCGTGAAGAGTTTCTTGCATACAATTCTTCGGGTAGGGGCGAAGCCCCACCCCCCGCGTAAGAACGTCTGAGCCCCCCCCCCCCTCCCCAACTCAAAAGAAATTTCTTCATCGATACTCTATAATAAAATTACCGCCTAATTAATGTGTCTAATCTAAAAAGTGGTTTTCTTGCAATTTCTTTAATGCAATTCTTCGGGTAGTGGCTAAGCGCGACACCAGTGTTTCTTTCAGACTTTTTCCTCCCCGGAGAGGGGTGGGGGTACTTGAAATTTTCGGGGGCGGGGGTAGAATTTTCGGGGAGGGGGCGGACACTGGAAAAAGTATATAATTATATTTCGTTGAATGGGACGTTAGACATGTTTTTTTAGGGGGGGTGGGTGGGGGGTGGAGGGTGAGTGGGGGGGGGGGTGGGGGTGAGTGGGTGGGGTGGTTTTAATTTAGACTTTTTCCTCCCCGGAGAGGGGTGGGGGTACTTGAAATTTTCGGGGGCGGGTGTAGAATTTTCGGGGAGGGGGCGGACACTGGAAAAAGTATATAATTATATTTCGTTGAATGGGACGGTAGACATGTTTTTTTAGGGGTGGGGGGGGGGGGTGGGGGGTGGTGTGTGTGTGGGGGATGGGGGTGGGGGGTGAATGGGGGGGGGGGTGGTTTTAATTTAGACTTTTTCCTCCCCGGAGAGGGGTGGGGGTACTTGAAATTTTCGGGGACGGGGTTAGAATTTTCGGGGAGGGGGCGGACACTGGAAAAAGTATATAATTATATTTCGTTGAATGGGACGGTAGACATGTTTTTTTTAGGGGTGGTGGGTGGGGGGTGGGGGGTGGTGTGTGTGTGGGGGGGTGGGGGGTGACTGGGGGGTGGTTTTAATTTAGACTTTTTCCTCCCCGGAGAGGGGTGGGGGTACTTGAAATTATCGGGGGCGGGGTTAGAATTTTCTGGGAGGGGGCGGACACTGGAAAAAGTATATAATTATATTTCGTTGAATGGGACGGTAGACATGTTTTTTTTTTGGGGGGGGGGGGGGGTGGAGGTGGGGGGGGGGGGGGTGTGTGTGGGGGTGGGGGGGGGGGGTGGGGTGGTTTTAGTTTAGAGAAAAGAGACAGCACTATCAGCCTAGCGCCCGTTGTATCCTTCCTCAACGGGCCATTTTTCTCGTTTTAGAATATTCGAGAAAGTTTCGGGGAGATCACTCTCGTTTTATTTATCTAAAATCTATGCTTATAGACTTTGTCTAAACATCATATGCCGACTACACATCATTTCTTGTCTACACATCACATTCTAATCTGGTCGGTTGTATTTAGAAGACCTAGCACTAATAGAACATAATAACTTGTAGAGTTACTGCTGCTAATGCAGAAAAAAATATTAAACCCTTTTTCTTAACTCAAAAACCTACATCATTCAACAAATAAAAATAACTTACACCATTCAACAAATAAAAATAACCTACATCATTTTACATTTAGAAATGACCTACATCATTTGACGGAAAGAAATGACCTATATTATTTACCGAACAGTATTGACCTAGAAGAATCGTGCATGTAAGATCTGCTGCTAATGCTCCCATACCTCTCTAAATTACATCTAGCAGATAAACACGTTACCCTACAGACCAGACAAACACGTTACCCTACAGACCAGACAAACACGTTACCCTACAGACCAGACAAACACGTTACCCTACAGACCACCTTCAGACAAACACGTTACCCTACAGACCAGACAAACACGTTACCCTACAGACCAGACAAACACGTTACCCTACAGACCAGACAAACACGTTACCCTACAGACCAGACAAACACGTTACCCTACAGACCAGACAAACACGTTACCCTACAGACCAGACAAACACGTTACCCTACAGACCAGACAAACACGTTACCCTACAGACCAGACAAACACGTTACCCTACAGACCAGACAAACACGTTACCCTACAGACCAACTTCAGACAAACACATTACCCTACAGACCAGACAAACACGTTACCCTACAGACCAGACAAACACGTTACCCTACAGACCAGACAAACACGTTACCCTACAGACCAGACAAACACGTTACCCTACAGACCAGACAAACACGTTACCCTACAGACCAGACAAACACGTTACCCTACAGACCACCTTCAGACAAACACGTTACCCTACAGACCAGACAAACACGTTACCCTACAGACCACCTTCAGACAAACACGTTACCCTACAGACCAGACAAACACGTTACCCTACAGACCACCTTCAGACAAACACGTTACCCTACAGACCAGACAAACACGTTACCCTACAGACCAGGCAAACACGTTACCCTACAGACCAGACAAACACGTTACCCTACAGACCACCTTCAGACAAACACGTTACCCTACAGACCAGACAAACACGTTACCCTACAGACCAGACAAACACGTTACCCTACAGACCAGACAAACACGTTACCCTACAGACCACCTTCAGACAAACACGTTACCCTACAGACCAGACAAACACGTTACCCTACAGACCAGACAAACACGTTACCCTACAGACCAGACAAACACGTTACCCTACAGACCACCTTCAGACAAACACGTTACCCTACAGACCAGACAAACACGTTACCCTACAGACCAGACAAACACGTTACCCTACAGACCAGACAAACACGTTACCCTACAGACCAGACAAACACGTTACCCTACAGACCAGACAAACACGTTACCCTACAGACCAGACAAACACGTCACCCTCAGACCAGACAAACACGTTACCCTACAGACCAGACAAACACGTTACCCTACAGACCAGACAAACACGTTACCCTACAGACCACCTTCAGACAAACACGTTACCCTACAGACCAGACAAACACGTTACCCTACAGACCAGACAAAACCGTTACCCTACAGACCAGACAAACACGTTACCCTACAGACCACCTTCAGACAAACACGTTACCCTACAGACCAGACAAACACGTTACCCTACAGACCAGACAAACACGTTACCCTACAGACCAGACAAACACGTTACCCTACAGACCAGACAAACACGTTACCCTACAGACCAGGCAAACACGTTACCCTACAGACCAGACAAACACGTTACCCTACAGACCAGACAAACACGTTACCCTACAGACCAGACAAACACGTTACCATACAGACCAGACAAACACGTTACCCTACAGACCAGACAAACACGTTACCCTACAGACCACCTTCAGACAAACACGTTACCCTACAGACCACCTTCAGACAAACACGTTACCCTACAGACCAACTTCAGACAAACACGTTACCCTACAGACCAGACAAACACGTTACCCTACAGACCAGACAAACACGTTACCCTACAGACCACCTTCAGACAAACACGTTACCCTACAGACCAGACAAACACGTTACCCTACAGACCAGACAAACACGTTACCCTACAGACCAGACAAACACGTTACCCTACAGACCACCTTCAGACAAACACGTTACCCTACAGACCAGACAAACACGTTACCCTACAGACCAGACAAACACGTTACCCTACAGACCAGACAAACACGTTACCCTACAGACCAGACAAACACGTTACCCAACAGACCAGACAAATACGTTACCCTACAGACCAGACAAACACGTTACCCTACAGACCAACTTCAGACAAACACGTTACCCTACAGACCAGACAAACACGTTACCCTACAGACCAACTTCAGACAAACACGTTACCCTACAGACCAGACAAACACGTTACCCTACAGACCAGACAAACACGTTACCCTACAGACCAGACAAACACGTTACCCTACAGACCACCTTCAGACAAACACGTTACCCTACAGACCAGACAAACACGTTACCCTACAGACCAGACAAACACGTTACCCTACAGACCAGACAAACACGTTACCCTACAGACCAGACAAACACGTTACCCTACAGACCAGACAAACACGTTACCCTACAGACCAGACAAACACGTTACCCTACAGACCAGACAAACACGTTACCCTACAGACCAGACAAACACGTTACCCTACAGACCACCTTCAGAAAAAAAAGGCTACACTACCAGCAGACGAATAATTTGTCAAACAAAAAATGTGCAACGGTCTTGACGTCATGTGACCATCCAAGAGCTAAATTAGCTCCAGAGCTAAATTAGCTCCAGACGTTGAGCTCATCCTGACCTTAATATAGCACCCACGTGACACACTGGCTAGATATACTTTGAATCGAGCAGCCACGGGTTTTAACAAAGCTTACAAAAACAAAGCAGGCGCTACTTTGATCAACCCTGCAGACATGTGGAACACACGCGCGATGTAAGGTCACGTCTGCTTCATGTTTGCTCAAACTTGACTTCCGGTTGCGACTCACGTACATCTTCCGTCGACATAAAACCGCTACATGCTTGTTGCATGTTTGACAGCAGTCATCCCTACCTTAACCATGTCTAAGTTTGACCTACAACTTGACCATGTCTATGTTTGACCTACAACTGGACCATGTCTATGTTTGACCAGCAACTTGACCATGTCTATGTTTGACCTACAACTTGACCATGTCTATGTTTGACCTACAACTTGACCATGTCTATGTTTGACCTACAACTTGACCATGTCTATGTTTGACCTACAACTTGACCATGTCTATGTTTGACCTATAACTTGACCATGTCCATGTTCTGACCCCCAGCTTGACCATGACCCCTACAACGTGGCTGGCTACAGCTGCCCTTATGACGCTGCTGGACGTCACGTGGTCATGCCCCATAGCCTGCACGTGCGTCCAAGATTTTGTCACGTGTTCAGACTTCCAAATGCTGGACCTCTCGGTGCTGCCTCGCAGGACTCACACTCTGGCACTGACCAGAGGTGACGTGGAGGACTTGAGTCCCGGCTTTCTCGCCATGGCCCCGGCCCTCAAGATCCTGGAGATGTTTTCTGTCAACGTGCGCATCGTCAGGGGCGGCGCTTTTAGGGGTGAGTAGATAGGCACATAAAGTTGTCCTCATAAAGTTGTCCACATAAAGTTGTCCCTTTAAAGTGGTCCTCATAAAGTTGTCCTCATAAAGTTGTCCTCATTAAGTTGTCTCTTTAAAGTGGTCCTCATAAAGTTGTCATCATAAAGTTGTCCATATAAGTTGTCCTCATAAAGTTATCCACATAAGTTGTCATCATAAAGTTGTCCATATAAGTTGTCCTCATAAAGTTGTCCTCATTAAGTTTTCCCTTTAAAGTTGTCCACATAAGTTGTCCTTTAAAGTTGTCCTCATAAAGTGGTCCACATAAAGTTGTCCACATAAAGTTGTCCTCATTAAGTTGTCCTCATAAAGTTGTCCTCATAAAGTTGTCCTCATAAAGTTGTCCTCATAAAGTTGTCCACATAAAGTTGTCCTCATAAAGTTGCCCTCATAAAGTTGTCCTCATTAAGTTGTCTCTTTAAAGTGGTCCTCATAAAGTTGTCATCATAAAGTTGTCCATATAAGTTGTCCTCATAAAGTTATCCACATAAGTTGTCATCATAAAGTTGTCCATATAAGTTGTCCTCATAAAGTTGTCCTCATTAAGTTTTCCCTTTAAAGTTGTCCACATAAGTTGTCCTTTAAAGTTGTCCTCATAAAGTGGTCCACATAAAGTTGTCCACATAAAGTTGTCCTCATTAAGTTGTCCTCATAAAGTTGTCCTCATAAAGTTGTCCTCATAAAGTTGTCCTCATAAAGTTGTCCATATAAGTTGTCCTCATAAAGTTGTCCTTATAAAGTCGTCCTCATAAAGTTGTCCTCATAAAGTTGTCCTCATAAAGTTGTCCACATAAAGTTGTCCTCATAAAGTTGTCCACATAAAGTTGTCCTCATTAAGTTGTCCACTTTAAGCTGCCCATTAGCCTTGTCCGCAGTTGTAATTTTTTATTCATCTCCAGGGTTAAACAATCTGGACCTCTTGTCTGTATCGGGATCAAGGTTTGACATCGTGGAGCCGGACAGCTTTAGCGGCCTGCACGACATTACCAGCCTGCTCATCTCCGACTCCGTCTTTGGCCGGGTGGGCAGGCACGGGTTCGCCGACATTCGCCGGGTCAGGAAGCTGCAGGTGACCGGCTCCACCTTCGGCGCCGTGGCCCCGCAGGCGTTCTTTAGGCTGGCAGACGTGGGGCAGCTGGTGCTGGAGGGGAACAACATCAGCGCGCTGGGGGCGGGCAGCTTCCTGCAGGCCTCCAACATCCGCCAGCTCCGTCTCCTGGGCAACAGGGTGGAGGCTGACGGGGGTGGGAGCCTGGAGCTTCTGGCTGCTGCCAGCTCCCTCCCCGAGATCTCACACAACGTCTTCCCCTGCGCCTGCAACATGGCCTGGCTGACGGACAAGTTCCAGACTTTTTTAAGCCAGAATTTCTGTTTCTTCCCGGGTCAAAGTGACATCGCTGACCGGACGTTTCGCCTCTCTGACGTCACACAGGAAGTTTTGTGTGATGGAGAGGCACGCACGCCTGACCTACATATCAGCGGGAAAGGTCATGATCACGAGGATGTGGGCCATGGTGATGTGGGCCATGGTGATGTGGGCCATGGTGATGTGGCCCATGTGGATATAGGCCATGTGGATGTGGGCCATGGTGATGTGGGCCATGTGGATGTAGGCCATCGTGATGAAACGTTTACAAGTATTGATATGATTGAAAATATTTTTGAGATTCTGCAGGAAGAAAATTCAGGTGAAGACAAGCCATCAGCTGTAGATGAGACAGACAAGCCATGGACGGACAAACCCGACTGGCCGCCGGCTGCTACAGTGCCACGTCCATTCTTGACCACCCATATATATGACGTCATTGATGACGTCATAGACCTTAGTTCTGTTCTGGAAGACGCCAGGCCAAGTCTACACAAAACTTCAAGTCTGTGGGGGCTTCACGGTGGGAGCCTCACAGACACCCCCACACACAGCCCACACCTCTCACACAGAGACACACCCACACACAGCCCACACCTCTCACACAGAGACACACCCACACACAGCCCACACCTCTCACACAGAGACACACCCACACACAGCCCACACCTCTCACACAGAGACACACCCACACACAGCCCACACCTCTCACACAGAGACACACCCACACACAGAGACACACCCACACACAGTCCACACCTCGCACACAGAGACACCCCCACACACAGCCCACACCTCGCACACAGAGACACCCCCACACACAGCCCACACCTCGCACACAGAGACACCCCCACACACAGCCCACACCTCTCACACAGAGACACCCCCACACACAGCCCACACCTCGCACACAGAGACACACCCACACACAGCCCACACCTTGCACACAGAGCCACACCCACAGAGACGCCGCCCACTCCATTCACTCAACTTCCATCGACTCACGACCCCATACAAACGAACGACTCAACCCCTGAACCACGGAGTGAACCACACACAACCCCTGAACCACAGCGTGAACCACACACAACCCCTGAACCACAGCGTGAACCACACACAACCCCTGAACCACAGCGTGAACCACACACAACCCCTGATCCAACTCCTGAACCTCGTCAACAACCCCGAACCCCTGAACCACCCCGAACCCCTGAACCACCCCGAACCTCTGAACCAGAGGAGGGGACAACTGGCCAATGGTCTGATGAGGACCTGCCTGAGATCTCTATTGATTTTCCCGACACACTGACAGACGACACACTGACAGACGACACACTGACAGACGACACACTGACAGACGAATCAGTGTCACGTGACCGTTTAGATGTACATAAAGTTGAAGCCATTATAGACTACGTTGATCTCGCCATCAGTACCACACCTACCACACGTGGCCCCAGGGATCCACGGGTCAACCACAGGGATCCACACGTCAGCCACAGGGATCCACATTTGTCGTCTGCTGATAATGACCTACCAGACGACACCCGCAACCAACCGGATCTCAGCCTTGGCCCTTACATTCACGCCCGGCCCTACGGTTCGGCACCAGTGGGCATGCGCAGACCGAAGAACTCGACCGGAAGTCTCAAGTCTCACACGATCGCAGTCTGCTTGACTCTGTGTTATTGGGCTCTTCTCACTCTCTGAGTGCTTTCAAAAGTCTCAACACAGCACGGCAGCACGCCCGTGTACACAGACACGCCAGTACGCCCGTGTACACAGACACGCCCGTGTACACAGACACGCCCGTGTACACAGACACGGCAGCACGCCCGTGTACACAGCACGCCAGCACGCTCGTGTACACAGACACGGCAGCACGCCCGTGTACACAGACACGGCAGCACGCCCGTGTACACAGACACGGCAGCACGCCCGTGTACACAGCACGCCAGCACGCCCGTGTACACATACACGCCAGCACGCCCGTGTACACAGACACGCCAGTACGCCCGTGTACACAGACACGCCCGTGTACACAGACACGCCCGTGTACACAGACACGGCAGCACGCCCGTGTACACAGCACGCCAGCACGCCCGTGTACACATACACGCCAGCACGCCCGTGTACACAGACACGGCAGCACGCCCGTGTACACAGCACGCCCGTGTACACAGCACGCCCGTGTACACAGACACGGCAGCACGCCCGTGTACACAGACACGGCAGCACGCCCGTGTACACAGACACGGCAGCACGCCCGTGTACACAGACACGGCAGCACGCCCGTGTACACAGACACGGCAGCACGTCCGTGTACACAGACACGCCCGTGTACACAGACACGGCAGCACGCCCGTGTACACAGACACGGCAGCACGCCCGTGTACACAGACACGCCAGCACGCCCGTGTACACAGACACGGCAGCACGCCCGTGTACACAGACACGGCAGCACGCCCGTGTACACAGACACGGCAGCACGTCCGTGTACACAGACACGCCCGTGTACACAGACACGGCAGCACGCCCGTGTACACAGACACGGCAGCACGCCCGTGTACACAGACACGCCAGCACGCCCGTGTACACAGACACGCCAGCACTTTTTTCCGGGGAGGCGGACACTGTTTAAGTATAATATATTTTTCTATATTAATTCCATTTCGTTCAGGGGGGGGGGGGGGAGCGGTAGACTTTCTTCGCCCCACTCCCCACGAGGAGATGCATGGAAGAAACTTTGATGATCTGTATGTAGTGTGACGTCAGACCATTTTCAACAGACTGAGCATTCACTCAGGTTTTTTGTTGGTTTTTTTTTTAATACAAATACCTGACCCGACTTGTTTCGCACATGTGACCGGTGAGTTGAGCTGGCTTCTCTCCTCCAGTAGGGTTAGTTAGCCCCACTTGAGTGTACAACTAAATATCTTAGTCTTTCAAATCTTGTCTGTCTGTCCAACCTTGTGTCTGTCTGTCTGTCCAACCTTGTGTCTGTCTGTCTGTCCAACCTTATCTAGAACCAGGCTGCGGCCATGTAAAAAAAAAAAAATGCCACCAGAACCTTCGTCTGTCTGACCCAGTTATAGTTGGGTTTTTTTTTCTTTTGAAGAGCGCAAAAATTACAACAGTTGTATGTGTCTATGTGTGTGTCTGGTGTGTTGTATCGACGCCTGTTGTATGTGTATATGTGTCTGGTGTGTTGTATCGACGCCACTCTCGAAGTGACGCCACTCTTGTTGTAGTGACGTCAATGCATGAAGAAATGACTCAAGAAATAAAATTATGTGCCCACGATTCTCTAGTTCTAGATGAGAAGTAACGTCACTGAAGGACATGTGCTAGTGTGTGATTGTGTGCAATCAATGTGATAGTGTGTGATTGTGTGCAATGAATGTGCTAGTGTGTGATTGTGTGCAATGAATGTGCTAGTGTGTGATTGTGTGCAATCAATGTGCTAGTGTGTGATTGTGTGCACTGTGTGACGAGTGTTTTATAGTGTGCTGTGTATGTGACGTGTGTACAGTGACTTCCACGCAATCGCTTGTTGATATGAATTTTGTGCCATATGTTGATAAATGTGGGCCTTCAATATTTAACAGAATGAACGAATGTTGATTTAACTAATTGAACTTGATTAAAAACAGATTTCTATAATAATGTTTATGATCCAACGACTTGATATTTTCATTTAAATATTCCACAGTGAAGTCTATTGATCCAAATAAAATAAAAATTCTATGTAGGTTTGTTTATTTTATCAATCCTATGGCATTACAAGCAGAATACAGCGAACATCACACATCATACATCACACCGCCAACAACACAGACCACACCTGTACAGATCACGTGATGTGTTAGCTCAGGTGCATGTGGGGCACACACTGATCGTCTGCTCAGGTAGCCGGGATTTGTGACTCAATATCTGACGCAACTCACGCTCTAAGTTACGTCATCAGCCTTGCTTGAGTAATGAACCATTTACATACATATAGTATATGTATGTTTAGATAGGCCCTATCTATCTATCCGATCGCCATGACATATAGTATATGTATGTTTAGATAGGCCCTATCTATCTATCCGATCGCCATGACATATAGTATATGTATGTTTAGATAGGCCCTATCTATCTATCCGATCGCCATGACATATAGTATATGTATGTTTAGATAGACCCTATCTATCTATCCGATCGCCATGACATATGGTATATGTATGTTTAGATAGACCCTATCTATCTATCCGATCGCCATGACATATAGTATATGTATGTTTAGATAGGCCCTATCTATCTATCCGATCGTCATGACATATAGTATATGTATGTTTAGATAGACCCTATCTATCTATCCGATCGCCATGACATATGGTATATGTATGTTTAGATAGGCCCTATCTATCTATCCGATCGCCATGACATATGGTATATGTATGTTTAGATAGGCCCTATCTATCTATCCGATCGTCATGACATATAGTATATGTATGTTTAGATAGGCCCTATCTATCTATCCGATCGTCATGACATATAGTATATGTATGTTTAGATAGGCCCTATCTATCTATCCGATCGCCATGAATCTTTGGGAAGTTGTTGAGGATAATCCTGGGGAGGTTCTTTACATTACAGATAGGTTTTTCACAGAGGCCAGTGCAGGACCTGGCCAGCTAGTATAATATATATATAAATATATACATATATATATATAGGCCTATATATATATATATAAATATATATATATATATATGCCTATATATATATATATATATATATATATATATATATATATATATATATATAGGCCTATATATATATATATATATATATATAGGCCTATATATATATATATATATATATATATATATATATATATATATATATATATATATATATATATATATATATATATATATATATATATATACATATATATATATATATATATATATATATATATATATATATATATATATATATATATATATATATAGGCATATATATATATATTATATATATATATATATATATATATATATATATATATATATATATATATATATATATATACTAGCTGCATCCCGTGCTCCGCCACGGTAAATCTTTTTTAAATGTACCAACTTGGGAACAGAACAAAACTAAACACAACACAAACGAACGCAAAAAAAAAACACAAACGAAAAAACAAACACAACACTCATAACAAACACAATTTAAATGCAATCATATAGGCATATTGCTCACAGTCTAGCCCGTAGCGCCAAATCGCGCCCTTTCCGGTGATTTGCATCCCCTCAAACTTTCGATTTGCACCCCTGTCCCCCCGCCCTAAAACTTTCGATTTCCACCCCCCCCCCCCTCGCGCAATTTTTTCCAACCCACTCTGGCGCCCCCTAAGGTTGGCACCCGGGGACATATGCCCCCCCCCCTCGCTAAGCCTCTCCTATAAAACCCCTAGCTTGTCCGCAAATCCGCAAACCGAAAGATAGAATAATAATTAGTAAACAGTATAAATAATAGGCAGTATTTAAAATATCCGTGTTTTACCTACAATATTTCACTTTATCCAGTCACGCATTTTTTTTTCCAGTGCTTTAAATTTTAAAAATTTACAATAGAGTTTCATAACTAAAACCATTGCGCACCTAATGAACGTGATGACGCGTCTATAATAGTGCTGAATAGTTGATTAAAAATTATAAGTAATTATAAGTAATAAACAGTAGGGCCTACATTCAGTGAATAAAATAAATAAAAGATTGCCTTTTATCAATCCATGCTAATTATAATTTTCTAACAATAATTTACTCTTACACATCCGGATAATTGGCATTGACATTTTGCTAATTATATTATTGCAACACTAATTCCTTCTATGACGACCGTATATTTGCATTCACATTTTTTATTAGCGTGAGTTTAATGTATTTTTTAATTACCTCTTTTGTCAAAATTAGAAAAAAGAATTATATTAATTTGATTTTTCTACCGTACTGTTATTATGTTATTGAAATGTATCCATTTTTTTCTGGGAATATAAACGAAAATGATATTTGACATTGATACTTTTAATATGTTTTAGCCGTGTGTGTATATTTAATATTTTCTTTAAGTTATGCAAAAGAGTAAACACAGTGGAAATTATAAAATAGCTCTATGTCGTTATATAAACAAACCCTACTCTAATACTTATAATAAGACAATGCGCTGCACTGCAAAGCACTACATGGTGCGATGTTTACTTTTATGGTTCCAAAATCTATAGCGATGACGGAAGGAAGGACTGACACACTACTTGCCCGATTATATTATAGATATATACATACAAGCACTACAAGCAGTGACCTATGGCTAGGGTTAGGACAGAGGCGTAGCGACCCTTCCCGGCGCCCGGGGACAAACTTTTCGATTTGCACCCCCCCCCCCCCTCGAGATTTCGATTTGCAACCCCCCCCCCCCCTCGAGATTTTGATTTGCACCCCCTCCCCTCAAACTTTCAATTTGCACCCCCCTCAACCTCTCAATTTATTTTTCCAACCCATTTTGGCGCCCCCTAAGCTCGGCGCCCGGGGACATATGTCCCCCCCCCCCGCCCCCCCCCCCCCCCCTCGCTACGCTACTGGGTTAGGATTAGGGTTATGGATAGGATTAGGGTTAGGATTAGGGCTAGGATTGGGGTTAGGGTTCTGTGGTTGTAAACGCACGCATGCGCAGTACCATCGAAAACATCGAAGCGATGGCAAGTCGTAGTTTCTCTCCATTGCACACATGCGTATCTTTTTCCGGCTAGCATGGGCCTAATTAAAATTGTTTTTCTACATTCGAATACGTCTTTATTTTTTATTTTTCTTCTTTAAATAAAATTGTGGTTATACATTTAAAACATCTAACATATTATTTTCAACAAAAGTCCGTATAAAGTTCTTCATCTGCAGTTTCTGATGTGATGTCCGGCGAAAATATTTTGCGGACAGACAGATTTAAATGTATAACCACAATTTTATTTAAAGAAGAAAAATAAAAAATAAAGGCGTATTCGAATGTAGAAAAACAATTTTAATTATGCAACCGGAAAAGTGTTTAAACTTGGGACAAGAACGCATTTAACAATGACGTCACTTATTGTTTACACTAAAAAAAAAAGCACGAAACTGATGACGTCATCTTCCGAGTTTAGAATAAAAAAAATGAATATTT